GCTTTTATTGTACTTTTATCAATTTCACAACCATATAGATTGCAGTGTTTGGCAACTGCAGAGTATTCAGAATTGTATTTGATGGCGTTTATGTGTTCTTTTATACGACATTGAGACATTTTTTTGTTTCACCTACATAGGTCATAGGGTTATTACAGCTACAGTTAAACCTGTATATCACATTGCTTTTTTTAAGGATATTAACCATATTGTTTGGGTGGTTTGGTTGGATGTATTTTTGGGTTTTATTACAAAGGTCAGGGACTAAATTGATGTTGGTACTGTTTAAGACCATTTTAATTTTCTCAAACATATTTTTGACATATGTAAGTTTAAAGAACTTTTTAGTATCATTGTTGTTAACGGGATTAACGGTATGGGCATTGTTGTTATTATTATTACACTTAAATTGTTTTAGCCATTTGTCTAGGAGTACTTTTGGTAATTATTTAGTAAGAAGGTCTGAACGATGTCCATGATCTCAATATTCTTTTTTGTAATCAGAGGTAGTTCTATTGGATATCTTTTTGATGAAATTGACAAAAATGTTTCTTTTTATGAACAGGAGAGTATGTGAATGGTAGTCCATGACTTTATTAACGTTACAAGATTTTTTATAATTTTCTATTTCAAGGGTATTAGAATGTCTAGTAACTAAAACATCCAGGAATGGTAATTTGTTGTGAAGTTCGTTCTCAACTTCAAATTTAATGTTGTTATCAAGACTATTAACAGTTATAACCAAGTCATTAGGATTTAAGATTACAAGGTCGTAGATTATAAAACAATCGTCGACATATCTGTTAAAGAATTTGATGCTATGGAAGCAAGAAGAAAATGCTAGAAGCAACTTTTGTAATAATTTTGTTGGTCTTCCCTTGTCTTCAGGCAACAATTCGAAACTTTTTGAAGTGAGGGAGACATTGACATACGCTCAAGCCATTATATATTGATCAGATAGTATTCCTCCGAACTTTGAAACTCTCCCTTGTAATTCCACAATTCTTTTATGTATTTGCGAGAATGTCGGGTAGGCACTCGTTAAGTTTTGCATCTGTTTTTCTTTTTGAAAGGTGAGAGTATAATAGCAAAGGTAGAGAGTGGGCAGAAGATGCGTAATGTTGCTGGGCAGTTTGGCGTGAACAGGTCTACAGTAGGCTGCAGTTCAATCTTATTTCAGAAAAATACTGTATAATCAAGAAGACTCAAGCAGCTTAAGGAGTAACAAAAATCACATCTGAGAAATAAAGAGCATCAAAGAGCTCATAATAGAACCTGAAATGGATCTGACGACAGAAGCTCTTGCCAAGAACTCTTGAATGAAGAACACCAAGAAACTTGGTGAGATGTTTTCTTCTGAAAAAGTGGATTAATGCCAACATCTACTATTAAACATCTTTTGAAGTAGGAGGATACCAGAACAACAGTCTTAGAATGGCATCCAAACCAGGTTGAGGCTTGGGGATTTCTACAATTGCAATGCTATTAATTACTTACGAAAAATCCGGAAGGAGAGAGAAAAGCAATTAACATTAGACAGATTCTTTAACCCCACAAACGGAAAAAACATGACTAATAAAAATGCAAGACTGTGTATGTATGTATTTTTATTATTACATATAAATAAACGTAGTAAGAAAGTATATATTTTTTATTTTTGGGGATCTCCAGAATGAATTAATTAAATTCCCATTAAAACCTATGGTAAATCAATAATTGGTTAACGAACAATTTGGATAGCAAACAAAGTCTTGGAATGGATTATGCTCATTAACCAATCACCCACTGTATATAAATTATTGAACATTAACAAATTAAAATAAAAGCTATAAAAGTTTAATAGTGTATCACCAAAGAATGTAATGTACTGTTTGAGTAAAGAAGGAATTTATTGGCTGAGTGACCAGTATAACCATTTGTATATATATTATATATAGTATATATTAGGAGAGTACCTAATAAACAATAATAATTTATTCAGAGGATTATGAGAAATAGATTTAGTATACACTTTACAAGTCTAAATTTTCTTTTCTGATTGGTTAGTTGCTTCATTATGCATTTTTCAATACAATAAATTTTTCTTTAACTTCAAAGATATTGAGATGGGACGTTTAATAACAGGTGCTGTTAACCCAATAGTTTTATATGTTAGTGGTGGAAATACTCAGGTTTGTTTTTTGTTTTTCCTTTTAATGATATTTTGTATTTTATAAAACATTAACTTAATAAAGTTTGCTTAATTTAGGTAATTTCGTATAGTCATAAAAGATATCGTATTTTTGGTGAAACTATTGACATAGCAATTGGAAATTGTTTGGATCGATTTGCAAGAATATTGAAGGTGAATATTTTGAAACATAACTAATTCATATAAAAAATGCTTGAAAATAGAAAAACAAAATTTGAAACAGTAATAAAGTTTATTAGTTGTTTCTAAAAATAATGTGTATCATAATCTTTTTCTTAACCATTCATTCTGTTTATGAAACTTTTTATTTTAGTCACTATTTCTTTCTTTCCAATAAATAGATCATTAAAAAAATATTTATTATTGATTTGTGTATGAATAATTTTTTAACCATTTTTTGATTTTGTTGAAGTAAACTGTTTAATTTTTTATGATATGTATATATGAATATCTTTTTATCTGCATTACTTGTTGCCTACTATTATAGTTCATATTAACCATTTCTAATGTTACAATATTGTATTTCTGGATATAGATATTTCAGTTATTTTTGATGATATTTTAAAGTAGCCAGTATATTATACTGCAAAATAATTAAAAATTATTGTGTTATATTAATAAAACGATCTTAATATTGTTTGTATATTCCTTAAGTAACTTTTGATCAGATTTGATAATATTGGTATAGAAGTCTGAAATTTTGTATTTCTATCTGACTACCTATTAATAGTTGGATAAAGAGATACAACATTTCAGACTTATGTACTCTGAGCCTGAAGAGGGATTGGAAAATTTAGTTATCAATCTGAAATGCATAGATAAAGGCAATAAAAAAGTTGTCAGATTACTGAGATTGGAAAAAGGAACTTTTTCCAATCTCAGTAATCTGATACTAATTGACTCTTAGGTATTACTGGCATTGTTCCCAAGTCATAGACAATCTTCCCACTAGTTCAAACTCCAGTTTGCACTAAATTTGAACATGTTCCCACTAAACATGGGATGATATTTAGCATGAGCTTAAACACTTGAGCTTGGGCACAATATTAAAGGTTGTCATGCTTGTCATCGTAGACTGCTCAAAAAAGGTAGAACATATTTTAATATAACACTATATAAATATAATCAGTTCTCTGAAATATCCCACCAAAAATATTGTTCTTCCCACTAAATTTTCCAGAGTTGTTTTAATTTTCCACTAAACTTAGTGGGGATACAACCAACTTGGTAACACTAATTACCAGCAATGGCAGTGTGCTTGAATGACAAAATGGAAGAAAACCATTAAAAATTTTAAAAAGAATTGAGAATTAATTTGGGAACTCTAAACTCAGTAACATATGATTACTCTTCTTTCATATTTACTTGTTATTTTATAAATATTTTTGGTTAATACAATGTATTGACATGTAAACAAACATTATCTTTCTGAATTGTTAAACCATTGAATCATCATATTTTCTATTAATAATTTGACAATCTCCTTAATCTAACACTATTCTAGAACCATATACAATATGTCAGATTATTGATATTGTACTGTGTGTACTTTCTGTCTATGAATTTTTTGTGTAAAAATGAATTTTAAATTTATATATAAAAATTTTTTATATGTAAAAAATAGTTAGTAGTTGTAGCTGGCTATATTCAAAATTTTCCTATAAATTTAGACAATTACTTTTTATGCTGTCCTGTGTGCTTTGTTGTCCATTTTTCATTATGGATTCAGTCAAATCTACATTAGGTGATAAAGATAACATATATGGATCAACCTATTAATGAAAATTCCTGAACAATTTGGACATGAACCTAAATTCTTCAGATGGCAAGTTTGTTCCTTTTACAGCCTTAGACATCTGGCTATTAAATATCGAAATTTACTATTTTTTTTCTTTTAAACATTAAAAGATACATTTTTATATATTTTTACAAAGAGTATAATACATGAAAAATTTGTCTTCTATCATTCTGGTTGTCGCACCAATATAATGGGTGCGACCGCCTATATCATTCTCTAATGGAACTGAATACACCCCCGATTTTTCATTGGTGGATAAAGGATCTCTGTCGTTGGACAGCAACCTCCTAAGATTCGGCCGCGGANTTTTCTGATTTACACAGATTAATTATATAAAAATCATAGAATAACAGTTCTTATATAGAATAATCTTATATAGAATTCAAAGAATTGTAATATATGAATACTTTATGTACGAATTAAAAAAACTAAACAAATAATGATTCCTGTAAAGGATGTTCAAAAATTTGTACTCATTCATTAAAGAAAACTCTCCAAAACAAAGGATTCTGTTCAACTCCCTATTTTAATCTCTCTCCATTTTCAAATTCTATCAAACCATAATTCAAGACACTCACTTCTCTCAAATTCAATCATCAAGCGTCATGATTGGATTTTTAAGATGTTCTAAAACAAACTTAGTGCTTTGTGCAGTACCTTCCAAAACATATAATTGCTTTTAAATTTTAAATGTTTAATTTATTGAATCTTCACATAAACACTTATATTAAAGGGTATTGAAACAAATTGTGTAGAGTTAATTTACCACATGGGCCAACTTCTGCAATATGTCTGTTGGTAATCAATGATTATACTGTTGAACTGATCTATTCAGCACCATCATTATCAGTTTTGTTTGTCTTAAAATTACTAAAAAGTGTTTGTTTAATGTTTTATTTATTAAAATGAAATTTAACAAATACAAAATAATATTGTTATATATAACACAAACAAATTACTAATGTATATACTTATAATAAAGTCTAGTTCCTACTTGTAGAAAAATAGTGCAGAAAATGATCTTGAAAACAGAAAACTTTCTACATGGAGCATAGAAATGTCACAGAAAAGTCTAGTTTCCACTTACAGAAAATTTAACAAAAAAAAAATTATTTTTACTCATTGATTTTGTTTTTTGAAAATGAATGTATAAGGAACCAAGTCCAAGTGTTATTTTTATTTTATTTTTGCTTTTTATTATATTTTGTTTGGGGCTTATGTTTTGTTAGGACGAAGGTTTCCTCACCATTCACCTTAGAAACTTAAAAATAGAAGAGAAACCAACGAGAGAAAAGCGCCGTAGAAAAAAAACTCGCGCACACTTGTGCTCCCGAGCAGAAAAAAGTAAGTCCGCACCGAGAAAAGGGGGGAGACCCCACAAGCACAACTTAGGGACTCGCTAAACCTTAAAGAATAAAAACATCCTGAAAATTGTTAAAAAGAATAATGTAAAAGGTTAGCGAGTATTGTCGGAAAATAGGCTGCCAGACAAATAGAAAAAGTTTTTTGTTAGCAAATAAGTATGTAAATGAGGGGAGTGATCGCATTCAGAGTTGTGACGTCACCTCACAGTATAAAGTCCAAGTCTCAAGTGAAGATGGACGAGGTGAGCTTCTGATAGTAACGAGCTTGGTGAGCTTTGTAGCAGTGAACGAGAGAGGTGTCCGATAGGATAAAATAGTTCCAAGGCGATTTTGAAGTTATTCGATTTGTGGATCGACGAATAGAGAAAGTCTTGAGAGTTGAGGAAATAGGTTCCTAGTATATTGAGGTGACGATTAGGATCTTTAATTCATAAGAATTATTGTATATAAGTTAAGTCTTTGAATTTGTCGAATTCCAAAGGGGAATAGAATTAAGTTAGAAATAGATTGATTTGAGTTTGTCGGATT